TGTGCTAGAGGAGGCCAAGAGCATTGCTATTTCTTATTATGGGCAAGTCTTTATTTTCATAGGCCCATTCTGTGAGGCCAGGAGAGTTGACACAGACTTTGTGACTATTTGGAAGTGCAACCCTTCTGGTTACAGCAGAGGTACAAAAGAATCCTAAGGGTCTTGCAGGAATAAACTCAGTGCTTCTTTTGTAACATTTAATAAAATAAAGAAAAGGAAGATCTGGAGAATCTGAAGAAATTAATTTCCTGTAGTTTGAAGTGAATGCTGACTTATCAAACATTTAAGTGTTGCTTATAAACTGTTAAGTTCTAACTCTTTTATTCTATCACTAGCTTTGTCATCTGTAAGTGTGCAGACCAGATAGTTTGGTAACTAAGATATGGTAAATTAATCACTCATTTACCCCACTGACTAGGAGCTTTCAAAACCACAGTCATAAAGAAAAAAAAAGGGCAGTGTGACTTAGTGTGAAGGCCGAATATATATCACAAATAATCTGCTTAAAGACAGTGCTCAGTATTTAGCAACATACCCATCTCTGAGTTACCAAGCAAGTAAAATACCAATCTCCCCACACACCTTTTCTCTTACTTTCCCCCATCAACAAAACTCTACCCTTTCCTCATTGTTGTGGTTTTTCCAATTTCATACTTGTTTCCCCACATATTTAGTCAGGAAAAAACTCACCTCTTTTCTCAAGTGTTTCAGAACTTCTTAAAAGCTACCTTATCTAGCTCTGAAAACCCCCTGTTCTCTCCCGGCAGGCGAGTCAAAGAAGTCAGATGACTACCAGGAAAGCAGAAGCGATAAGAGCCCCCCGCGCCGGGTCCCTCCGGCGCAGCCATGCCCTGCAGACTGCAGAGTCACTCTGCAGGAGCGCGGCACACGCCGCCGCTCAGCTGGAAAAACGTGCTCAGCAGTGTGCTCAGCACAGACTCTGCTTCCTCCTCCCACCTCCCCCCGGGGACTGCACCCCCATACCTGGGCCGGGAAGAGCAGAGTAGGACCCATCTCCCAGCTGCCGGTCCCCCCGGGCTCACACAGCCCCTCCGGCTGCACCGGCGGGCGGCCAGCAGGAAGGACACGCTTCACATTTCCGCCCCCCGTCCAGCTTTCCAATCACAGTTTAACTCTGGCTCGTGTGTCAAGGACACGTGAGGTTCACAAGCCCCATCCAAGCCCCCATTTCTCCCCGTTACCTCCCTGGCTGTCGCTCTCATGGTCACCAAGGGATCTCTGCAGAGCCTGCCAGAGATCAAAGGAGTGACACTGGAGCACTGGAGACGCTTCTCCTTCAACACCTTCCTTGTGGGGCAGGGATGCCTCTCCTCGGCCCCATCAGAGGCTGGGGCTGCTTTGGGGAGCAAGTTGGGAGTGGAGAACAGTGCCTGTGGACATGTGGCCAGGTCACAGGCCAGCTCTGCTGCTAAAGCAGCAGGTTGCGGACCTGTTTCCAGCCACTTCAAGAGGTGTCCGGCAGGAAGTGAACGTGCCTCCCCAGGAGCACAGGTTGGGGCAAGCTGTGCCCGCCAGCACATCGTGAGTGTCACACCCACTCTGGAGGGAACCAGAGAGCCATTTTCTAGATCAAGCGAACAAAGGGCATTTGTGTTACCTCTGAGTGCCACCAGAGCCAGACTGAGCAGCACCGAGACCTCGGTCACACCAACACCACCTTTGTTGACCATTTCTAAAGGAAATGGAGGCTTCCCTCTGGCCTGTGGTGCCAGAGCATCCAACCCAGCCAGGGCCACCATCATCACCCCCAACACACTGTCACTCCCAAGCTATTTGAAGCAGAGAACTCTACCAAACCTTCCAACTTGTGACCACGCAAAGGAACAGAGTGACTCAAACCCACAAAATAAAAATAAAATCACAACCATGCAGAGTACTGAAGCCTGCTGCACGTTCCCGTACAATGCTGAAACACAGGGAAGTGTCAAGGGAAGCTGTTGCTCCCTAAGTCAGCTTTGCTCTAGAAGGACAATGAAGGTAAACCACTGATAAAGCAGGTTCACAGCCCTTCCTCCCTCTCCTTGCACGTCTCAGCAGAACATCCCCCAGCACACATAGCTTTAATGCGGCAGGAAGAGCTCTTGATCCTGGCAAAATCCACAGTGAGTGTCACACCAAAGCTGGGCTAGATGACTTGCTAAGGATGGCTCCAGTAGCTTGCTCAGCCTGGTGCAATATTTAGACCAGCAGAGCCACAACACATCACACACCGATTTGCTTGGGAAGGACAATCCACCCAGGCCTTCCAAGGAAGCCCCAAAACTGCAGCACAAATGCGTGCTCTGATAGAGGAAAGTTCAGTTAAGAGGATCTTCTGGGAATCTCCAATTACAGGATGAGCCTCCCTTTAGAAACATGTTGACACTTGACCACCATTTCCACAACCTTTCCCAAAAACAAAAGTTTATCTTGCACAGCATTAGAATTGCTATCAGCAAACCTATTTCCACCAAATGCCTCGTGCCAGTTTTTACTCCACAGCTGCGGGACCTTCATGTGCACACCCATGTCTTTCAGCCAAGCAATCCAGACTGACCCTGACCTAGGACTCTCCCCACAAAGTTGTCTGGTAATCAATTTATTCAAGGCCAAATTCAGTTCCCATTTGTTCTGGTCACCCATCAGCATTGCCTAAATACACAAGTAGCTGTAAGTTCTCCCAGCACTGCATTAACTTCTTTGAAGCCTTTCTTTTCCCTCTCCTCTGACCTGCTCAAGTTGTGCAGCTGCATTATTTGCTGCAAGATATTCAGATTAGCCAGTTACTTCAATGCAAGGAGATAAAGTCTCCCAACTCCACTCAAAGCTCACTAACGAGGACCTGGACCTGCAGAATGACTTTGGAACTGAAGCTCAGTCTCAAGTGAAGAAAGGAAAAAATGCAGAGCTGTGCGTGCCACAGATCCACAAGGTACCCAGAGCTTTACCCAACCCCAGGAGACAACTTCTTGCCCATGCAAAGCTCCACCTAGTCAGCAACACCACGATGGCAGAGCCCAGCAGGTATCACCAAGGTTGCATCACCTCTTTCCCCAAGCTCCCTGTGTGCACAGCAAGCCAGGGATTTGACAGAGCTAGCAGCATAGAGACTCAAGCCCTTGGTAGGAAGTCAGCAAAGGTTTCAATGCCAAGATGACCAGAGGCTAAACAACATGTTAAAGACCATAATGTAAATGTGTATCGTGGTTGGGAATGAACAAAGTTCACCGGTCCCAACTGGACTTAGGGTAAGCACAGCTGTAATAACTGTAAGGGTTAAAACATTCCACCTGGTCTGAACAGCATGGCTGTCTACTAAAATGCTCATTCCTTATTTTGCCAAACAAGCACAACCACTGAGGTGGTGTCAGAGATTCATTACAAAGTAGTCTCAAGTATGTAAAGAGCAACCTAACTCTATCCAAGTCGGCATTTGGCATTCCCCTGAGGATAATTTCACACTATTTGAGCACAGCAAAAGGATCAGGTGTCATAATCTGGAAGGGAGAGCAGAGCATTGCAGCCCCAGTGCCCCCAATCCCAGCCCTGCTTTCTGGGAAAGCCTTCACATCTTTAGTCTTCACATCTGAACCAAGCCCTTCTGCTGCCCAATCCAGTGATCCCTGATGCGCTCCTGGTGGAAACCTCCATGACACCACAGGCAAAAAAAAGCTTAAAAGAAGAGTTGTGAAGGTAAGGAGGTGGTTGGAGAGAATCCTCCAGTGATGCCTTGGCAGTTTGGATCCAGAGGTCGCAGCAGAAGCAGGCGCTTGAAGCCCAGCAACCAGGGCCAGTGAGTCAGCTCTCAGGAGCTACGCTGCATTCCCCAGCCTTCCCTTCCCGAAACAGTGCAGAACAGGGCAAAGGTCCAGCACAAAGCTGAAGGGCAAAGGTATGCGGGGGAGGGAAAACACTAAGCTTCACGTTTTTTTGGTGCAACGAGTTCCAGTTACCCTCATCCTCCCCAACAAGGCGGGGAGAGTTACTCAAACGTGAGTTGTGGGATCGGAACAAAACAATATTTCGGAGAGGAAACTTGGGGTGATGGGGAGGGAGGCCTCCTGCTGCGATAGCAGCTCTGTTGCAACAAACAGCCAGGAGAGCTCCACAATTACGTGCCACGACAGAGCAAGAATTGCCCAACACTTTGGAAATAGGTGTGTGTAGCACTACCGAGCTGGGTGCCCGAGCAAGCAGATGTGTGTGTCTACTCTGAACGCAAAGACACGCCAAAGGTAAAATAAGCTTCCCATACATCTTATCTCCTGTGCTGGAGGCTGGTTTCAAGGAAAGCCCTATGGGGAGTTAGTCTGTAAGGGGTGAGAAGCTAACGAATCTTCCCCTGCCTTCTCCTCAGGACCGGCAGCCAACCCAACCTCTGCTCTGGCATAAAGCAACATGCACTCTCTCTTAACAATAGTCAGGCAACCTCTGGTGCTTGCTGGTAGCAACCAAGGTGTGCCTTCTGGAAAGTACTGCTTATCCGCCCAGTGCCTTTGCCAAATGGCATGCAAGAAACTCTACTCAAGAAATCAAAGCACCTCCTGCATTTCCACTAGGAAATACACTGCTTTTCCTGGTCGAGCGCTTCCAAGGAGAATGAAAAACGGCATAAAACTTAGCGCAGGCAAAGCTCAGGGACTGCAGTGCTGGTCATTAAAACCTGAGTGTTCTTACTTCCAAGATGTAAATGGCTTTAAAAATAAAGAAGTGCCAACTGCCTTGATGCAACATTTCTTGAAATAAATCCAGCAGGTTTTCAAAACGGGGTGCTGTTAACACCTGTCTGTACCAGTGCTTGCATCAGCACCAGCCCCGGTGCAGGGCACAGCGGAGGAGTACAACATGTTCCAGAAGGTCGAGCTGTCTTAACTGCAAGCCACACTTCTCCTCTATAGAAGAGTTGGAGAAAATACTTTGAATTTGGTTTATAGACAGTAGTGCAAAGCTGGTTTTGCCAGAAAATGTTTCATTTGCTACTACAGACACACACACTACCATCACGCCTTCACCAGCCAGGCTGCTGGCTGCATTTATTTACATGATAAGAAAAGAACGTGTAATAATGAGGGGACAGTCACATAGACCTTGTTACTAGATCATTAGAGTAAAAACAAGGCATCATTACATCTCTGCAGCGTCCCTCACAAGCAGTCAGCAGTGTCAAGCCCTGTCAAATAGGACAGGACTGTGCATATCTCAGGGATCAAAGGATCTTCGCACCTCCACTCTGAAACAGACACATAAACAAATGTAACACACATCTTATCAGGACATCAGGAAAATTTTCTAGTGTGCCACTCCAGCTGAGCCTCAGCTTCTGCTTACAGCATCAGCAGTATCACTGCTGTTTGACTCGACCTAATGGTTGCTCCACTTACTGCTACACTGTCATGCTTCTGGGAGGTTAAAAAGCAAGGAGAGGCTTTGCTTCAAGAGTCCTCCTTCCTGAAAAAGCAGAAACATTTACTCCAACACCCTGTTATATTACTGACTTCACTGCCAACCTTGAGCTCAAAAAACGCTGCAGCAGGTAGGCAAGACAGGAGCTTCTGAAGGTAAATCCTGATCCGCCAAAAAGGACCCTGTTCTTCAGTCCCTGAATCAGCCCCTCAATGCACTGAACTTGCCCAGCTGTTACAAGTCAAACAGTTCAAAACAATCAAAGGTGGGTTTGTTAAGCTGTTCCTTAACCATATTCCAACAGAGGCAGCAGAAATTCACCAAGATCTTGCAGGTGGCTCTGTCTCCCCTGGGCCAGAGCTCAATGTCTTTACTTTTATAAACACCAATTCCAACACAGACCATTACAGAATGAGTGAACACCTAAGGAGTAAGTAGGTCTTGTCTATTAAATCTGCTCTACGGGTCTATAATTAATACAATGATTATAAAAAAAATTAGGGCTTTCAAAGCCTGTAAAACAAGTCATAGAGGGATCTCTTTATCATTATAGAGCTGTCTTCAGCTCTACACTTCTTGGTCTCCTCACTACTTCTGGCATGATCAGGGCTGAAAACATTTAATATCTCCAGCACAGAAGCATTGCTTTGGGAACACTGCTGGATTATGAGCCAAGGCTTCCTAAGCTCTGCTTAGAAACCAAAGACATCCAGCAGTGCCTTCCCAGAGTTCAACAGCTCTCAATTCACTGTAAGGGTAAAAAAGAGTCACTTTCCTTGGGTGATCCTTCTGGAGGTCACTACAACACAACTCACCTCACCAGCACATTCTTTCACACAAATTCATGCTTCAGATCTTTTTTTGGTAAGTATTTGCCAAAAGAAATTCTCCACCCAAAGGAGCCGGCAAACTCTGCGAGAAGGTACTTGGGTGCAACGCTGCCCGGCAAGGTCAGCTGGCAGCCTGCCTCTCATGGGAGCTCACCAGCCGTGTTTATTTTACACGTTTTCTCTTCTGCTAACGAACAGGCAGCAAAAGAAACAATGCCCCAAGAGAAGAGAGCCAGGCAGCAGCACTGGGGGCACTGCTGGAACCAACTGCTGCTGCCAAGTGTCCCAGAAGACACCACCAACCAATTCCATTATTTAAACACCTTCGGGAATACTGGGACAACTGTACTGGGCCCAAGGATAATTCTGATGTTGCAGCATTACTCCCTTACCCTACAATTGTGTGGACACGCTACAGACACACTCTCACTCGCTCCCTCCAAAAAATCATCCCAGGAGTTGTAAGGAGCCCTGCTTGTGTTGGGCAGCTGTCTCATCTCTCACACACCTTTGTGACTGATGGGCCTGGTAATGAATCTGGACACCCCCTAGACCAGAGCCTCAAACAGGAACGTTCAATCTTGCAATTTTGCATTTTTTGGTTTATTTCTATGAATTGTTACCCTTAGGAGGCATCACAATGGAGTGCAACCTTCACACAAAGGAGCGATGTGACCAGTTTTGTGCCATAACGCAGAAGGCAAATGCAGACAGCGACGCTGCCCTGGATTTTCTTAAGCTTTGCTTATGTCAGTGAGTACAATGACAAACCACCAAACAATCCGAACACAGACTTCTACCTAGCACGATTAACTTGTCCTCTATACTTCCCCTTAAGATGACAGCTTTCCACATGGAAATTGCAGAGCTGTCCATCTCCCAAAGATCAATAACTCTTGATGAATCATCATCCTAGGCACTAACAGTTCTTACAAAATACTGGCACGTACGGTAATTGGGAATCCGATGTCTGGCAGTGTGTTACAGAGTTAACAGAGGCAGGCAGGAAAAAAATAACTATTTCCCAAACAAGACGCTTAGTGAAAACTTCTGTTTTCCTCCTAGTCGCGATTCACTGGAAGCAGGTACGGGGGGGGAGCGCAGCACCCATCCCGACACGCGGGGAAACGGTGCTCCGCAGCTTCACCCTTTGCTGACGACAGCAGCGGGCTACAAACGCGATTTGGACAGCGCAGCCTTCCTGGGGACAGCCCCCCCTTCCCCAGCCGTGCCCCCACCGGGGGCAGAGCCGCGCTGGGCGCCGCCACCGCCATGAGTCGGCAGAGAAAGGCGGCGCGGCCTGCGCGGGGAGCCGCGGCCGCGCACACGTGGGCAGCGCAGGCCGCGGCCCGGGCACGGGGCCCCGCGGGGACGGCGGGGTTGCGCTCCCGGGGGACCCGCACATGTGCCGGGGAACCCACCACGTTGCCGGCGCTGCTGCGGCGGAATGCCGGGAGCGGGGAGGAGGAGGAGAAGGGGGGGGGGGGGCCGCGTGTCCGCCGCCGGGCCCGCCCGCCTCCGCCGGGCCCGCGGCACCCCCCACTCGCCGCATGGCCGGGCTGCGCTGCCCTC